AAAGCCAAGCAGGGCACCACCAAAATAGAAGATCAGGTTGGAAAATAAGATCAGCAAGCTAGAATAAGAAAAGAAGCTGAAGAACAAGAAGACCAAAGAAGAGCTGATCAAGAAATATCACCTAGAAACAAGGAAGATCAAAGGACTACTGAAAATAATAAAGCAGCAAGTAACAGCCATAGCCAAGAAGATCAGCAGATATGAAGCTCAAATTGCACACTATAGGCAGAATCTCCAATTTCAGTCGAATCAGAAACATTTCTACCACTCCATCAATGGAGAGATTGCAATGAACACCATTGCAGTTCTGGGTGCAGCTATGGGACAACCCCCCAAAAATATAACAAGAATGCAGCTTGGATAAAGGAGATGGATAAGAATTAAAAAGAAGCTGAAAGGAAAGAACTTGTAATAACAACAGAAATGGTGGAGAAAAGGGCAAGGAAAATCAAGAATTGGTCAGCACCAGATGAAGATGAACTGCATGGTTTTTGGTTGAAGCATCTGACTGGTTTGCACCCACTCACTGTCGAGCAGTTTAACAACATACTGCAAGGAGGTGAAATTGAAGATTGGTTAACATCTGATAATGAAAGATCCAACCAAAGGGGCAGCACCAGGCAACTACAGGCCAATTACATGCTTACCAACAACTTTCAAATTGCTAACTGGTGTGGTAGCTGATGCAGTCCAACAGCATATAGTTGAAAACAAGCTCTTTCCATCTCAGCAGAAAGGAAACTGCCGAAACAGCAGAGGGACAAAAGATCAACTCCTAATTGACCAGATGATTTTGGAAAACTGTAAGAGAAGGAAGACCAACTTGAATGTAGCTTGGATTGAATACAAGGAGGCATTCAACTCCCTGCCATATGACTGGATAATCAAGTGCCTAGAAATAACAGGAATCAGTAGAAACCTCAGAAGTCTTGTGCAAAGATCAATGGCACAATGGAAGACATAGTTGCTGGTCAATGGTGATAGAGTGGGAAAGGTTAACATCAAGAGAGGAATCTTTCAAGGAGACTCACTATCACCATTACTGTTTGACATTTCACTGATTACTCTGTCCACAATACTGAACAAGTCAGGCCATGGTTATCAAACATCAAAAACATCTGCCAGG